CTAGTCGACTTGCCAGTATGTAGTTGTGGGCTGTGACTTTATTCAGTGGCGAGTCACATCCGCCACGTCGCAGTGTTGTTAAACAGACATTTGTGGCTTTTTATAGGGAGAACGCTTGCCAGGCGAAAACCCAACACGTCCTGCAACACTGCCGTAAAGCATTTTGAACATTAATGTTGAACTGGCAAAGCCGCTTGACGACTGGTTTCACATTCGGTTTTTCGCGGGGTAATGGCTTCTAATTTCCTCTGTTAGTTGGACGGGTATTTTGCTCTGGGTCGCCATGAATGTTCGGGGTCGCTGGAGGAGAGGGACATCGCCATTTTTCATCTTGTTGTATGTCCAGGTGAGCAAAAGTTTCAATTTTTCTGCTGTTCAGATTTTTCCGTTGCATAATGTATGGGAGTATGAGGATATGTCCGGTTCTCCATACTGGACAAGGGTTATGGTGATTGTAGGTCGGTCCTTGCGGAGTTTTACCATCCTCCATGTCAGTCCTTGTGGGTTGTTACGTCCGTCTTGGGCAAAATTGTTCCTCAGTCCAATCCCATATCTCCAAGATGTCCCGGACCTCAGAGAAAAGGGAAAGTGGGAGACAACCGAGAGAAGACCGCAAGAACAGGCATGGAATTGAATATTGTTAGTGTCTTGTGTTATAACATTTGGGCTTGAGACAAAAGCATGTACACTGTGCAACAATAATTATGCTGAAAATGTCTTTTGAGTATCCTATAGTATCATTAGCCGTATAGGTGGATTGTTATCGCCTGCGTAGGGACAAGAGCGTTGCATCAGTAAGTAAAGTACGAGTATCCGTTTGATATGAGTCGATAGTTGCGTGGGGATAGAGCAAAGAGAGTTAGAATGTTGGCAGTGATTGTCAGGTGCATGAACAGCAGGTAAATCTGTTACTGGTTCTGAGCAGTCAGACTGTCCGCAAACTGCACTAGACTCATCCACCTGCGTCGGCGTTTAGCGAGCCGGCCATGTTCATTTGGAAAACAGAGCAGAATTATAACACGGATACATTAGTATAACGACCGCAACACAAAAGGAAGTTGCTAGGTGTAAAACGGGACTAAACCATGGAACAGCCGGAAACATTACCAGTAAGCAGCAAAGAGGCTTCGTCCAGTGCCACTCTAATGGATCCAAGATAGCTTGGCTTAGAAAAAATTTGACACTAGTCAACTTTTATTTCAAATGTCTATACAAACACTGTTTTTCACGTTATTTTAGCTACAAAGTTCAATCAGAATTGCACGACAAAGAATCGTGGAACCTCGTTGTACTTACTGGATATCCACGGGGCAGTTGTTTAGTTTGTGGAGAATCACATCCGCCAAATCACAGCGTTGCCAAGCAGGCGATTGAGGCTACAGTATTGAGAACGCTCGCTAGGTGAAAATCCACCACGTCCTGGAACAGCCGCCGAAATATTTCAAGGGCAGCACTAGATAGCTATGCCTAGTTAGAACTTACACCGCCCCGCCACCTTACATTATGTTTTTTCTTATATCTGCTTGCAAAGCAGAAAGCCACTTTTAGCGAAAACGTACTAGCGTTGTTCGTAGACCACCAACCAATTGCGAATAACTCGTGACCTATTGCAGGCATTGCATTGCTTTTACTTTTAACGTAATCATCAGTGAAAACTTGTTCTGCTTCGCTTATTTTTGTATTACTTTTCGTCTGCTCCTAGCCTTAAATAAGGTTTATCTTTTGTACTAATATTTACATCGGTTAAAAGTTGGCGCCAGCGATCAAATTTAACTCAAGAACTTTGGGTTATTTTATTGTTAAGTTGCACTTTCTAGGGAAGTATGCCGCATTAGTATGTCTCTAAACAAAAGCGTTTCATGTTTAATTGCAATTATAACGTTAATTTCAACCTTTTCATGTTCCTTATAATTTCATCGCGTTTATTTCTTTCCATGTTAGCACCAATCCATTTGACCACTGAGCAGACCGAAATAGTTCACATATTTATATAAAGCCTCGCTGAATCGGATCCTGTGTCCAAAGAAAAGCTGCACAACTATTGCCCCTCGCAACTTTCACAAAACAAACTCAAGGAGTTCAATAACGCTTGAAGGAGCCAGAAGAATTTCAAGGTGGGTGGGCACAACCCTATCAGCTGTACACCTAAAAAAGCCAATGCAGTCGTACTTGCATTAAGGAACGTATACTCACACTTTTCCTATGCCATAAAGGAGCATAGGATTAGTGCAAACACTGATGTGATAGATTACGGTTGCAGCACATAGCTAGTGCTGCGGGATACTTTCGTCCAAAGCGTCGGCGGCAGCCTTCAATCGGATTGGATCAGCACACTAAAATTTCCGACTGCACAATCCTTGAATAAGAAGTGTGAATCGAAGCCGCTAACGTAAGAAAACTACGAAGTGCTGGCTTCTCCAGATTGGCTGGAGAACAGTCGAGTCTGAATCATCTGACTGTGCCGGTGCTCGCAAGAGGTCTAGATTTGGTGACGACTAACCCGGGAATAAAATAGCGAGCATTGTACCCCGTTGAAGCAGAATGCACGCAAACCTGATTTTAAGGAAGATAGCATGAAAGGAGTTCGCCGTGACATGCACTTGTATAAAAGCCTAGTTGATTGCAGCAGCATTAGTCTCCCAATATCAGCGAAACATCGTCTCTCACGTTCCGGAATCCACTGGAGCTGTAAACGACTACAGCCATGTGAGAGGTGCACCCGTCACCTGTCCGGCATCAAAGTAATTGATGTCCATCTTCATCATCACATATGGCTTCCACAAGCTAATAACTGAAGCCTTCTTCTCAGTAAAGAATCCCAATACTTCCAAGCCTAGCACCAGAGCGAACAACTCGAGCTAGCTTATAAGCTGGTATTAGCGCACCCGAAGCCAGAACGACCAAATCACCAGGGTTTATTTAATAGTCATCAGCCCTTGGTGATTCACAAAGGCAAGCAAATGAATTTCATCAACTTTGCTTCATAAGCTACGTACATTGGAAGGTAGCAACTACAAAACTTTCTCCGATCTTACCGCCCGGGTGCCACAAACTTGGCCTCCAGAAAACGCACGGAAGTTATTGAAACACACAAAAATTCAAAATGGGGTGAGCGCTGTAGTTATTTTTTGGGAGGTCGTAGATTGTTCACAGCTGGTTAGCTTCCGACCCTGTTACCTGAACGGAAGTTTCGCAATGCGCAAAACCTTTTTCCCTTAAGACGCTGGGTCTGTCTGAAAATGACGCTGCAATCACCCTCACCTTGATGAGCATGAGAGGACGAACGTCAGTAGGTCTTCCTGCTCCCTGCCAAGAAGAACCGTAGACATTACTTATCCCTTTCCAACCATTATCAAAAGGAGGTTGGTCAGTTGCTACGAAAACTCCACCACTTCCAATGTCCCTTCAGCCGGCAAGGCGTTGTTGGATCCAAAAATGGCCATAAGGATCAAACAACGGTCACGCGGTTGTGGCTTGTATCCTCGGGAGTTGGGCCTTCCGTGGTATTTGTTTCTAACGAGCGTTTTCCAATTGGCTTAAAAAGTCGAGCAGCCTGAGTTAGGAAGGGGCACATTTCTAAATTTTGGCGTAGCATCACCCTCGGTTTCTGCTCTTAAAATGTTGTTCTATTAGACAGCTTTCTTTCAGCAATCGCATACACCACTACCGCATAAATTTAGCGCCTAGACTCATAGTGGCCAGCATCGAGTGTCGGTTGCTCCGGTAGCGATGACGAGGAGATGAGACGTCATTGAAAAGAGAGCGTGCTGGGTCAGGTGCAGCAAGAGGCAGCGAGAATACCTGCGGTCTGGCGGCATTGCGGACTGCAGTTTAACTAGATAATTTCAAGTAAAAGTTTCGAGACACACACATCGCACAGTACAGGGAGACATGCATCAGAAAAGGGGGTTCTCGGAAAACATAAAAATATCTGTACTGATGCCTGAACAAGCAATGTGCCGCCACTCATAGCAAACCAGACAAGCCTTTAAATTTGTAGTAGCGCCTTTACTGCAAGCCAAACCGTTAGAGTCCATGCTGTCGTATTCATAACAAACGACGAGGCATTCAACGAGAAGAAATACAGGGAATTCGTTTGCTGATTGGTGCTAGAAACTGGACGCCCGTTAGGCGGAGGCCTGTAGCGCAGTTGAAACCTGCTCTGACCTGTGGTAGTCTCCAGATAAATGGAACCCTACGCTAATTTTCAACAAAAAGTACAAAAAGGAACAGAACAACCAATCTTAACCTACTGTAGTTTGACTGGGAAGGTTGGTCCTGATTTGTCCATGCTATCTACTCCTGCTAGATTATCTGGTCTCGGCGAGCATTGTATGAAGCTGGATAAACCTCGGTCCGATCGAGTTAGAGCGGAGACACGCTTATCGCGTCGAGTCATCGAGCGCTGGAACCTGCTTCCAGAAAACTTTGTCAAGGAAGCTATAGTTAAGGGGTTTGAACGTCAACTAGATGCTCTTGGGTGGCAACACGAAACCTTCCGTTTTCCTGACAAATTCCCATCTTCATACTTCGATTCTATTTTCTTTACTTTTCCTCACCACTGCTATTATTCCCTTCTTTTAACTGATTTCCCCTACTCTCTTACCTTCGATTCTTCTTCCTCTCTTACTTACTTCACGTAACTGACATAGCTGGGACAGCTAATGTAAGGAACGTGGGCATTAAATTGGTGGACCAGGGTGTTTTTCGGGTGTTTTCGTTTAAGACCCATCAAGAAGTCGGAGCACCCCTATCAACTCCTGGATCGACGACGCGCTCAAGAAGGAACACTTACGGGATTCATCCTATCGTTCCAGTCCCACTTGAACTTGAACTTGAACTTGAACCAAGCAACCACCCGAGGAACCACTTCTATTCGATAAGTAACGTACACAGGAGAAAATTTACATTTTATCACACGCAACCAAATTATATGGTGCTTAAGATTGCTTACCTATGAACTGACTTCGGTTGTTTTATTTGCCGAAAACGGTTGACCCATTTACTTGGCCTTGAGTATTGTTCGGTTATCCATAATTGGCTTTGAATTCTTGGTCGATTGCTTCGAAGGAGACTAGCCTTTTTGCAATATGTCTGAGAGGTTCGTCTGCATTATCATGCTTTAATTTTGGAATGCACCTTTTATTTCCACATATGATGGAACCATAGTCTCGCGTTATCATCATATATTAGAATGATCTCCATTCATTCATTGGTTAGTAGAGCAGGAGGAAGAGTTCAGTTCCATCACTTCCCGATCATTGCTGAGATGCTGTCGTTATTGCGCAACGAAAACTCTGGAGTGGACGTCGTACTCGTAGCTGAAGCACGATCCCGACATAACAAGTGGGAATAAGACAGTCCTTTGAAGCAAGGCTATAGCGGAATCGTTCGGTCGCTATATATCAGGTTCGTCCCACCACAAGGAAGTCGGAAAAAGACGTATATATGAGCGAGATAGACGTTTTGTTGTCGAAACTCATAATCTCGCCAGCTAAAGGCACCGCAACAAGGTTCTAGCTAGGGGAAAAGTAGTAACCAGCCGAGATGCAGCAAACGCTCTTTGAGGCGGAAAAGCCAGAAGCGCGCGAATGCGATTCGTCTGGATGACTCAAACACACGTAGTCATCGTGCGAACAGGCAAGCTTTCTAAGTTATCTATGTACAGAAGGATATTTTATTTTAGTAATATTTTACACAGACAAACCGGACAATCTCCAGGTCACTACGAGCCTCCGTCTTCACATCAGCGTCAGGCCCCGGTAACCGGTCCCAGCCATTCACAACGCGAGTAGATAAAGCAAGAATGGACCGCATTTTGAGTTTCCTTGGTTTAAATATTTGCCATCGGTGACCTAAAGTCGAACTGCCAACGTTGAGGTGGAAGAATTCCTGCAATTCTCTCCTTAGATTTCCCCTGAGGATACATCGGGTACAAATCAAATCTCTGCGGCGACGACTGGAAAATGTGGTCAGTGCACCCACTGAAGAATGTTTAAAGAAACTGTTGGATTTACACTTGATTAATGTGTCGGAGTCTTCCTGTTACCCGTGAAATTGTGCTCACCTGTTGGGACATTCTTTTTCCCTATAACACGCACCATCACACTGATCGGGAAGGGATGAACCTGACAAGCGTTATGCCAAATAAACCTTTAACAACGCCAACACCTCTATTTGGTCTCTATTAGACTTTTCGTCAGCGAACCCCATGTATTTTCGTTCTGACCTTTTGTCCGTTTTCTTGTGATTCAAACGGGCTTTGAGTTGCGCAAAACACTCGGAATCTTCTGCTGATCTATCGATCATCATGGTATTCAAGTGTCTAGATTGTGTTAAAGGTGTCACTATTCGTTCAAAGGCAGTTTAATTTTCTTTCTGCGACGGCTGGTTGCATGTCATTTTTGTGGTATCTCATCAACTTTTTATGAGCGTCTTCAGCTGTATACAGCATCCTCTGCTGGTATCTTCTGACTCTTGTTTTATTAAACACCCAGCGTGCTCAGTCTGGTTTATCTGCTTTTACTTCTCGCTCCGCTAGTGGTCACTCCGATCCCCAACCGACTGGTTCACAAAATTCGCCTCTTTTTGTTCTTTGTGCCCTTCCGATTTTGTCACGCCAGTTCTCAAACACATTCCTGTTCCACTCTCGGAGTCAGGAACGTCTACTGACCAGCGCAGTAAGCCCCTGCCCAAGACGTTTGCGACCGTTGTCAAGGAGAACAGGGCGGCTGCTGCCGCAAGCCGGATTCCTGTTGTCCCTAAGCATAAGCCTATAGCCAAATCTGTAGAATATAAAGCGCCATCTCCTAAGCGAGGGCTGAAATTAGTTCTTCATAGGATTGACCATTGGGAGAAACTGCTCAACGACAAGCCACCTTCTAAGCTACCGATTTCCATGACCACCAAAGTCCCTAACCGGGAACGTCTCATCGTAATGAACTCCCCGGTGTCGGATAAAACAAGAGCAGCAGAGAGCATTTTGGATGATCATTTATTTCTAAAATGAATGGTCTCCCTACTGTTCGATGGGGGGGGGGAACTGGGGATCATTATCGTTTCTGTTTTTCGTCTTGGCAGAAAACATGAAGATTCTTCCAAGGTGCGTCCCCCTAAGGTTGTATGTCAGAGTGAAGATGAATGCCGTCGGATCCTTCGACGGACTTCGCGCCTCAAGGGGGAGCCGTTTCACATGTTACGTGATCTATCCCCAGAGGACCACGTCAAAATGAAGATTGCGGTCGATGAATTGAGAACTCACCGTGCGAACGGTGAAACCGATTTGCATATTGAGGATTTTCGCGTGGTTCGGAAAATGCAGAGAACGCGCTGGAAGTCCTTGTCCTCCCCTAACACTAAGATCAACAACTGGATTGCACGTACTGTTTTCGAACATGCGCAGTCTACGCAACAAACTAGATGAAGTTGTACATCATGCGTCAGTACTCCTCCCGGACCTGATGTTGTCTACGGAGACATGATTGTCCCCAGAAACCCCATATCCCGAAGTACATATTCCTGCTTACAGTCTCACACCAGCTGATCGCATTAGTTTGAGTCCGGGCAGCGGCGTTATACTCTACTGGAAGGAGAATCTGTAGGTCCATGTAGTTGATGTCTTTGGAAGTGATGATTGCTCCGAAGTGCTTTAGTTTCGTATTCACGATGGATGTAGATCACTGAGCTTCCTTGAGTTCTGGTGATTGTTTATTGGGGTCTCTAAAAAAGCATGATGGAAACAAGAATTGCTTATTAGTGGGGGACTTTAATACCCCTACTATTGTATGTATGTAATCTCAACAGTGTCCCATGCCGAGGCTGATGTTGCATTCTTGATGCTTCTTCACCGCAGTTGAGCTAAACCAACTTACACTTAAACTAGGTCTTAAGCTGACTAAATTCCATTCCACTTTATTTGTTTTTTCTACCTACCTGAATACTCTTCTATTAACTAGCCACGTTGCTTACATTAATTGCGCTTATCATCGGTAGCATTTTTAACTAACTTGTGGACATTTTTTCCTTATCTCGGATGCGTTGCTAACCAACTTACTTCATATGCTAATTTAGCGAAGAGTTATGCCACCGTATCTGTATGCATTATTGGATTTGTTTTATTTCATCTTGTTGTTCCAGGTGATTGGCTGTTGCTTGATATCCCCTAGTGTGGCTGCGCTTGATGTGCATGTTGACAAGGTGCCTACCTGTCTATTACCCACTACCTCATCCATACTTGCTCTAGGAGACAGTTGGTCGTTGCTGGAGAGGACGGGGTGCACGGGTCTTGTGGCCGTGTTAGGATCAAAGAGTGGTTCCATGCAGTCAGTGTGGAGCGGACTACGGTCCAGCCACCGCCTGATGTGCGCTTGATTTCCCAAATACAGCGTGCTTGTGTTTGCCTGTGAAGGAGTGTGGGTCGGCTGCGTTGATGAAACGTGGCTCCCATCCATATGCCTCCCGGTCTTATTCCATCGGGTATACACTGGATATGGGTATGTGGTTGGAGCTGTGGGTGGTGCAGCGCAAGCCACCCATGGCCCCTCTGTAGGCGCAGGCGTCCTGTGGCTGGCCACAGTGACAGGCAAATCCGAAACCGGATGCCGCCAACCAATCTCAACAGTCTATTAACTAGACACAGAGCCAGCATAAAACCATGGAGATCAGCAGATAAGCAAGATTCATCGCGTCATAATCATGCCCCTACTATTGATTGGAATCTTTTTCACTTTGATGCTGCACCTGACTCCTTTGATTCTACGTTTCTGAAAGCTGTCCTTGAAAGCAATTTACTTCAACATGTCGCAGCACCTACGCAAATTACCCCCCTGCTCAGACGTCGCACATACTCGATCTTGCGCTTTCGCGTGCACAAACGGATGTTTTTAATTTGAACGTTTTACCAACAGCCGGGAGGAGTGACCACTGCCTACTTTCCTTACACTGGACTACACGGTTTAGCATTCACAGCCACTGTCTATCATCGGGATTTCTGGCGTGCTGGTCCAAACTGCTTGAAGATGGCCGCTAGCAAGCAGGATTGGAGTCTTCCTTTGCACTTAGACGTGGATCATGTTTGGAGCCTTGTTTACCCGAAAATGTCCAGAGTAGTGAACGAGTGGAACAATCTACCTCTGTTTGGCGTTGTTGCGCAGTCGGAGGAATGTTTCAAACATCGATTGGATTCTTACCTGTTGTGTAAACTCGGATCTTGTTGCTTCTTGTGTCAATGCGGAGGTTCTATTAGTACCGAATTACAATGTCCACCTTGATTCGTGTGACGAACGGGAGGCGATGGAGCTGACAAAGCATTTTTCCTTCTGCTGTCTATGTTGCACTGATCCATCTGCTTTCTACTATTCAATGTATTCAATATAGACACTCCACAAAGGGAAGGTCGTTAATGATGATCTCGAACAATTCAGGACCAAGGATCAATCCTTGCGGCACACCACTAGTCATCCGGAAAGGCTGGGAACTAGCTTCATACACTTTGACTCATTAAACGACCGTGCAAGAAATCCGCCACCTATTGTAAACGCGTCCAACGAACAAAGCTTCAAGAGGCTGTTGGACCTCCATTTGTTGCGTATGCTGGGATCGTCTCGCTTTCGTTGCAGCTGTAACGGTCCATTGTGAATGCTGTTTCTCAATGTCACGCATTATCCCTGCTCTGAGCGGGATGCAATGAAGCTGACAAGGGTTTCCCCTTCTGCTTCCTACAATTCATTGGTTTAACAGTATCTAGGATTTCCGTCCATCCATAACTCCATCGTGGCTCTAGCTTGTAGGCTCTGGATAACTGTCCGCTGCATTTGTCATTCAAGTAGTGCTTACCAACGTACGTAGTCGGCCCGTAGCCTAGTAGTAACGAGCTTGTAAGCTTGCGGCGCAGGTTCAAGTCCTCCCAGTGGTGGGTTTACTCGCAATATACTCAGGCCGCCTGCGACTGGTGGTGCTCGCATGACAACGAAGCGCCGCTGCGGCGTACAGCTGACTCACACATTTTTTTTCTAAGGAACAAGATGTTCGGATGGGTCTGCTCGCAGAGAAATCTTGTGTGGCTATACTTGCCTTCACTGAAAACGTGGTTGTATGAGCAAGTCACAAACATAAGGTAACTGTCAACCATGACCTCTACATAGGTTATCAGTCTGTGGTGGTGGCATCGCCTCTTACTTCTTCACCACTGAAGGAAACCACTACGACGGCTCTCATTGCTGACACTTTCAAAATAATGCGTTGGTGACACTAGTGGTTATTTACATGAGGTCAGTCGTCATTCTCGCCTTTTTTCTCTCTGTTGGTCACGGATTAGGCACTATAGGGCAGATTGCGCCCCATTTTTTGTTTGAAGAACTGATTGCTATCGTGGCAGTCTAAACACTGTCCGCTTCTGGGAAACGTTCAGCTTGAGCATTACTCGTGGATCACTCATAGTGTGCCCTTTGTTGCATTATGAGAGTCACTGCTCGTTCCATTTCTCTTCACCTGTCTTTTTCCCATTTTAAGGAAATGACCCTCAAAATTGATCACCTTACGTGCACCATTTTTGTCGTTTATTACTAACGAATTCCATGCTTTCTAACTCATTCCAGTGGCGACACGGCTGTCAAAACCGGAAAATCCAGAAGAAAAAAGGGTAAAGGAAAGAAGACAACTGCTGAGTACGTTTTTGTTGATCTTTCGATATCGGTTCTACTTCTTTCAACCCTGTGTACTGTGAGAAGAGTCATGTGTGCGTTTGTCCAAACACCGTAGGGTAGCCATGTTGCGGTCGAATCACATAACTAAGTAAATAAACAATACGTTCTTGACATAGCGAGGCACGCCTGCATAGGCATGATCATAGCAATACCGGCACGAGTGATTAGCAAATGTACCATAATGTTGCAAGTTTAGCAGTGACATGATGGATCTGTGCTATGTATCTGTATGTCGGTATGAATGTCTGCAGCTGTGTTCCTTGAATTCGATGACGTGACGTCTTAGTTGTGATTGTGTTCTGTCGGCCCATCTTCTTGAGGTGTGCAAGTGAAACTTTTTACTGCCCGACGGAAATCACTTAGATTGACACAACATTGTGGAATGGACCGCTGCACCTTTCATTCGTTTATATGACTGATTCAGGATTTTGCCCGGTCGATCATCTTGAGCTATTTTGCTATCTCGCATGGTCAACGATCTCGGCCGATCTAATCGTCATTTTTACAAACATCCTCGTCACATGGTATTTTGCATCACTCTCCCGAGTGTCGGCCACGTAGCCAAGTCATCACCGTGGATGCAGGTCGGTAGCTGAACGGATTGCACACTTGGCTTGCAACCCTTAGATCACCGGTTCGAATCCGCCAAGGGACTGGCCTCTTCGCGGTATTCTCAGCTGGTGTCACGTGGCAGCGAAACGTCGGTACAGTGTGTTGGCTTACTCCTGATTGCTTTGACAGTGGATTCCGCTGTGGGGTAGTGACCATGGTGTCCTTGGCGTAAACCCTAGTAACATTATCTCACGGGCTTGAGAGACCGAAAGCAAATGTCAAGTGCCTCGTTGGGGGTGGTTCCCACCAGTGTGACATTCGACATGATTCTGATAATGGCGATCTTCCTTAGCCGAGCTCATTATACCACATACGATTACGTGATGCATTGCAGATAAATCGCTCGTCAGTGAGACCTATTAGCCAGTGTCGCTAGCTTGAATCGGACTGACATATACTCTACCGAGATTTGTTCATCGACTCGCGCGACAACCGAGTCGCTGCCATCGCTTATGTGATTGAGCAGTGCCAACAAAACCTTACCGGTGATGTCTTAGTCCCAGCTATGGAGGTCAATATAAACTGCTATTGAGTTCGCACATGTGCATGATACGGTGTCGACAGCAACCACTCCGCCTCAGACTGATGACTCATTGTCATTATAATGGAATCGTTCGGTCGCTATAGACACACCTTCGCCCCGCCTCAAGGAAAAATCGGAAAACGTCGAATATAGGGGCGTGATAGACGTTTATTGATGAAACGCACACTTTTGCTGGCTAAATGCACCGTAAAAATGTTCTAGCTAGGGGAATGGTGTCTCCGTAGCGGCGACGCAGCGAACGCTTTTCGAGGCGGGAAAGCCGGAAGCGCGCGAAATGCGATTCTTGTTGATTCAAACACACGTAGTCATCGTTCAACCCGGCAAGTTCCCTACTTTGTCTAGGTACAAAATAATATTATATTTTTATACTGTTTTACACATCTTGCCCAGACAGGCAGGGAAATCTCCAAGTCACTACGCCATGAAGCCACGCAGGCGCATACTGCTATCTGTTCGATGATGTTCTGTGCCACTACCACACCTCGCTTGTGCCACCATCCGGTGCGTTGTAATGTGGTCCGGCTGTAATTCTACAGCTCAGACTCGTACCCAAGGCACATACTGGGCTGCGGCTTCCAATTTGGGTCTCAGTGCACATATTTTCATTACTCAGCGTTTGTTCCCCATCGATTCTCTGTACCGTTAACTGTCCGGCTATGGCCTGTTATTAGTCGCTTGGGTCAAGTAGACAAGCAAGACAGCATTTGTGCACACCAATTTATCAGTTGTGTTTAAAACGCCATGCGTTACTTGGAAGTTGCACTGGTCCTAGGCTCCCATCCTAGGTGTCGCTTTCCGTTTGGGTAACTTGAGTCTACCAAGTCATCTCCAGGGTGAATTCGTGGTGGTACAGGATATCGTAACCTTATGATCTCTGCGAACGTCCATCTACGTCCGTCTACTTTGAGACCTGAGTCAACTGATAGATAGCTCGATGCGGCTATGTCAGCGAATCCGACCAATTCGGTTTATTAGTTTGTCTTATATAATTCGAATTGAGCACACATACTACAGATCGATCATGGTTGTCTAACTGCGCCCTAAGCATTGAGAAGCCAACAATACCATACAGTTCGACCTAGCCGTCTAGCGTATTTCTAGGTAGTAGTGCCAGTGTGCCTGTACAGCTATTTGCAACGGCTCCACTTCACCAGGCTGCTGCAACAAACACCGTGCCCCCGACCTTCGGAGTACATCGGTAGCTTTGCCCTTTCCGAAAAGTGCAAGCAAGTCAAATCAGAATACGCTTTAAGTGCCCGGGTGGATGAATTTTCTACATTTTACCATATATACTTCAGATTGACTAAATGGTGCAAGAGCGCAAAGTTGTATGCTTGTAACGAGTCACTCGGTGTTCAAGTGTCATTAGAATAAACGATGCAAGGCTTGTGCATTTCTACAGAGAATAATCGGCATTTGCATCCTGTTTACGGGGCAATGTATGAGGCCATCATCCATCGGGACGGTGCTTCTTCACGATACCAAAACGTTTTGCTAATTCGTTTCAATATGTTTAGGATTTAATGACCGAAACTAACAAATCGCTTACTATGCGCAGTAACTAGATCATTTTTAAGAATCGATGGAGGACAGCATAAGTGATTTTGGAGATCCTCTAAGCGATGACAAAGTCAAAGATATTTTCTAAAACTGGTAACTCTACTGTAGGTCTCATAAAAGGATGCTTTATTGCGAATGCACTCATCAACCTAAAGGCCTGATTAATCATCAGGAACCAACTGGGAATCGTCTTCATCCAGAGCAGACCATTCAAGGGTGCTAACTTTTTTATCCCATTCTTTAAGCGTCTTAAGTCTGGTTAGAAACTTCCGACCCGTGTTACTTCACCACGCGTATACCGCGCACCCCGTTTAGCGAATACGTCTTTCAGTGGTAAAGTTTGTCTAGACACCCGTCTCTATCACCGTCTGCTATATGGCGTCCCATTTCTTTGGACACCATCTCAAACGAGTGGGCGCAGTTGGTTGGTGGCTTACTCGCGAATATTGTGGGGCGCGACTTTGTTTTGTGCCTTGTGCTGCACTGCGCTATGGTTGTCGATCTCAAGTTCATCACATGAGGCTCGCTTTCCTTATATTTTGCCATGTTTGTGAATTTGTTTTGACGTATTCGCGTAAATTAAACCTATATTGCACTGTGCTTGGTGCTTTATTGTGCCCCTCCCCCAGTGACCAGACCGAACCGGCTGGTGAAGTTTTTGGCGCTGAAGGTCATCCATCATCATCGGCTCTCACTTCACCAAGTGTCCAATCCGAGTAAGTGAATTTAGTCATTAAGCATGGCGTTAATATGTTCTCTCAGTCAGATTAAATTGAAAGTTCGCTTTTTAGCAGACATCGGTGTCGGTACGAGCTATCACGGCTTCGTTTTTTTCACACAAATAGGTTCATTAGTTATAGATACAGAGATCACTTACTGCTTCAAGTGCGGTACGAGGCATCAATACACCGTTCCGCACCACACCTGATGAGGGTCATCTCCATCAGGGTCCTCTCGATTTATGTGATGCGATCACATGAATTTGCTTGCAGGAGACCCACAAGTCTATCAGACACGCGATGCTGGACCTAAGCTCCCGCATCGCATGGAACATGCGGAAGGTTGGTGCATGGACTGAAGGCGACGGTGCACCATCGCTCATTAAGCAAGAACCCGATCGAGTCCCTGGATGATGTGTGACTCTACTTGCTCGCCTTCGCATTTCTGATGCGTTTAAGGGACTGCCGTTAGAAAACATCTGTATGGTTGAGAGATTTTGGAATACTCACACTGTGAATGTTCATTTGTTTTCATCTGTGGAATGACTGTTCAGCCTAATTCCAAGTGGATCCCCAAGGCCGGCAAAGATCTGTTTACTCCGTTCGATTCATCAAGCGCTTTTTTCATTTGGCCGGTTTCTGGTTTGCAGAGAAATAGGTCATATCCGTGAATGTACCGGTGTTCCTGTTGTGTCGCGTAAAAGCGCATTTTTTGACAGCCGTTTACCAAAATGGGCAGACGGATTACTTAGATTTGCCCAGATACTTTATTCATTTGTGGTTACCTTTGTCGACGATGGTGTCCGGTAGCCGATACCACTTGCCCGGCTACATAGCGGCATAGACTACTAAAACAGAGGCTACAATTAAGAGTTGCAGAATGCAGCATTTGCCTCAGAATAGACATCTGGATGACAACGTTTCTTCCCAAATGTGATCAACGCGTATCTCTGCTTTATAGGCTTTATGCTCTCGATGTGCGCTTGATGTAGAAGCAAGCGTAGGTAGTTCAAGATATTCACTTGTTAGCAGAATTGTTCGCTGTGCTTGCGTCGAAGAGGCTATTTTCAATGGTCACTTGCCAAAACGACCAGTGACAGGGACCTGTAATACTCACGCGCTCGATCACACGTTTCACATCGGTTTACGAGTCGTTTTGCCTTGCCATGTACTAACGCACTTCAACTATTGGCTAAACGTTTACAGGAAAATCTCCAATCCCAGCTAACAGTTCGTTTAACAAGGATGTCTTTGTTCCCGAGTAATCAGCGAGAGGCTGTCAGTCGACTATGGAATCTGTGTTGACAGTGTGCCTGCGGTATTCTTCAAATCAAATGTGTTAGCAAGCACTTTCTGCTTTCACTGTGTCGTGGCACTGTTTGAAACAAATCTTCCATTTCTCGACTCGGGAACAAGTGCCAGTGGTTATATTCTTCTTATCCCTCTTGACACTGAGTCGATGTCAGTTCTGTGCCCTAGTAGAACAGCTGAAAGTTTTCTGTTCAGCTGAGCTCCGGTATACGGCTGCGAAAGTGTATATCCTACTCGAAATTTCATCTTAGTTTCTGGTTTGTGTTTGAGGATCGGACCCCCTTCGTGTTCTTCTCTACGCCTATACCAATTCCAGCTCGTGCTATTCACACATATACTTGTCGGGATCGAATACTGTGTTGTAGTCTAACTACTATAGAAATCCATACAGTTCGCCAGGGAAGATCACAGCGAGCGCCACGCCACTGCATCTGACGTCGTTACAAGTTCGCTCCATACCGAACCGGACGGCATCATCGTCACCAACACTTTCTCCTAGGGGTAAGACACCCGCCTCAGTTAATGTACCACAATACCAAATCATAATAGAATAACATCAAAGACTACAAACGCCAAAAAATAACATTATGCTAGATATTTGACTATGAATTACTGGAGGATGGGGAAGCTAAAGGTGTGACGAGGGACAAAGAGACATAACATGAGCGCTATTGAGGTCTGCTCTTCGCCATGTATAGTAATGGCAACGATCGCTTTTGTGACCCAGTGAAAAGTGAGTCCACTCGAGAAGGAACACGGTAAGCATGTAATCGGAGATTGATCTGCAAGTCGCTAGTACGAAGAAGAACGATAAGCGATAGCAACTCAATCAACTAGTAGAGATCTATTTGCTGGCCTCGAGCCGAATCAAAAGCACGCTGGCCCCAGCTTTGATTCCAACTCATCATCATCATCAAAAGCAGCGGCAGTACATCAGCCATTTGGGCTGGTTCTCCACTTCTATATAACCATTCAGAGTCAAGGCGCGCCTACACTTTGTGTCAACAACCTACCATCACAAACAGTTTGCAATCGTGCAAAGACAAGAGGGCATCGGTGAGATCGCTTGTTTGTGGCTTTCACTGCTCCGCATCATAATCATCCACTACCCCACTGATTGCTCAACATCCACCACACTAAACCGGTAGTTCGATTACGGGACGACAGCAGACCCGCCACCGGTGCGCACTGCGAGCCAAGTCCTGTAACGTCTCGAGTCGAGCATAAGGCGGCTCACGTGGACTGCAGCCCGAAAAACGAGAAGGACCAACGGCACTTAGTTTGGTCGTCAGTGACCACTTCTTCCTGCCTAGTTAACTTTTGCCCATCTCTAGCCTTGCGCCACCATACGTCTGGCAAAGAAAACAATGACCTCCCCGGTAAGCGGTGACCAGGCATACGTACTACGTTCCCAAGCCAACGCAACTTATTTGGTGCTATCTGTCCTAAGAAAATAGCATGATTGTCGCTTTTTAGCACTCGCCTACGCACATCATCATTGTGGACATGCTGGTGTCATCCGACACCAGCAATACTCCTCAGACAGTATTGCTAAGGACTTGAAGGCGCCGTAGGTCCTCAGATCGAAAGGACCAAGTCTCACTCACATAGAGTAGGATGGCCCTTACTGTGGCTTGGTAAACACGGTTTTTCAGATCGAGGAAATCCGCCTTCTGAAGTCACAGATGTCGCAGGTTTAAGTAGGCAGTTGTAGCTTTTGCAATGCGTGAATTTACTTTAGTGGTTATGCGCCCGTCGTTGCCGATCCAGCTGCCAAGGTAAGTGAATTAATCAGCCATCTCGAGTCCCTCGTCAATAGTTATGCATCATCAAGTGACTGGTGGTCCTGCAATAGCACTTTGCGCTCTGAAGTTGCGAAACGCATGCCAAATGACAGAATCACTCTAGTTGGTTTACTCAGATTTGACTGGGCCTTCCCAACATTGTTAACATGAAAGACAATATCGTCCCTATAATCAAGATCGACTATCCCATTTCTCAATTAATTGCATCCCTAACGCAATGGCTTTCATCCGTAGTGCAGCAACCTGCATCCTTTGCGCAAAACCATGATCCGATAGTCACGAAAATTGCATCCACGACGCCCTCAGTGAGTCAGCTGTCTGTTCGCCTCAAGCGGACATCTTGTCTTTTCACTCAAGCCTTCCGCTCGTCTAGGTGCGCATCAGCATTGGACAATAAGGGGGCGGAAACAGGGACTTGCTCACGAACTGGCTCCAAACCTCAAGGCCTAGGATGTGAAGGTTAGGCGTTGTCAGCACAGTTCCAGACGAACACAGACGTTGTAATGAACATGTCTGGAACACTGGATTGCACCCCTGGTTTGATCGGGCGCGTTGTGAATGGAGTCAAAACAGTTTCACAAAGAAAACTTGAATGAACTAACGAGATGTTCGTTTGAGACGAGTGGACTGCTGACTCACTGATGGCCTCGTGGATGCAATTTCCTAACTGTCGGATTATACTTTTTGTGCTAATGATGCAGGCTGCTGCACTACGGATGAAAGCCATTGCTTTAAGGATGCAGTCAATTGAGAAGTGGTATAGACTCTCACCAGGCAGTACCACAATGCCATCAGCAATCATACCGAAGCCAATTTACTCGACTGGATACAAATAGACGACCGCATGTGTTGTTCGAATTCGGATTGCTATTGGAGCTATTAAGCGGCTTATGAAAACTAAAGACCTTTTCATCGCCTCCGTTTATGTCCCTACTGAATGCAGTTCAAAAGGTATCAAAGGTGACTGTTATGACTATATTTCATCTCTTATCCGTATGGCTAAAAGTGCTGCCATCGGGAATGTTGCTGATGACATGAATTCCTAATTTGTCCGTGTCCCAGACTGCACAACACAATGGATACGGCTTCGGAGTTGACGGATGTCGAACAGACAATGGTGATCGATTCTTCCAACTGTGCACCGACCACAATCCTTATATTAGCCGCACTACTTTCCAGCACAAAAGTTCACATCGTGTCACTTGTCGCCCACTGAATTCCTCGGTGACTTGGACTCAAATTGATCATTTCGCCATCACTCACAGATGGCGCACATCAGTCCAAGGCTGTCGGATAATTTGGATCACGTGCTTGGATTCCGACCATGATTTAGTGCGCGCACACTTGGCGCTCACTTCCCGCTTTAAAGAAGCGCCTATCTTCCAACCTTCTTACTATCAGTTCAGCAGTACCATTACTAGCTGGCCCACCATTTGTCAGTGATGAATGAGGTTGGTGGGTCGAACGCTGACTGGAATCGTCTGAAGTGTGCCCGACTTGAGACGTCCGAGCGGTGAATGGATCTGTCAGACGTCTATCAGTTTGATTGAAGCACGGAAACAGGCTCCGTTGGGTACCGAGTTTCAGCCTGTTCGTTACGAACAGGCTGACGACGAGTGACAAGGTATCTTCGAATTGACCCGGACCGTTGGGTGGCAAAGGCTCGTGTGGTGGAGAAAGACAGTGTTACCGGGAATAGCCGTGCGCTATTCCAACTTATCAGTCGGTTAATGAGACACTAACTGAAGAAGATGGGCATGGTTTTCATTGCTTATGATCTGGAACATTCCCTACACAATGAAGCTTATCTTTTCAGCATAACGGAGGACACATTCTATTCAAATTTCTCATTGTCCAGACTTCCAGTGCATCTTGATCAGC